TTTTTTTTTTTTTCTAGGAAAGAAATGTAGAAGCTGTAAGAAATGCAAAAGATGAGCGTGTTCGGGAAATTAGGAATGCAGTGGAGATGATGATTGCACGATTAGACACTCAGCTGAAAAATAAGCTTATAACATTGATGGGTGAGTGTGGGTTTTTGTTAGGTGTTTTTTGTTTGTTTTTGGGGAGTGTTTTTCTATGCTGCTAGAGTACATGGTACTTTGAGCCTCCTGGAGGTTCAATCTTTGAAGAATGAGGTTGGTGAGTTGGTACAGTCTAGGAAGGACTCTTGAGATTTTAGATAGTTCCATGTTAGATTCTGCCCAGATGTCCAACTTGTATTTAGAAAGCGGTAGAGAGAGAAGTTTTCATAGATATTTGGGTAAGAGTCTTAATAGCCTAGCCAGGGACCTCATTGTTAGCTTTTGTTTTTTTCCTCCTCTTTTCTAAATCCAATAAAAATTTCCTTTATGCTGTCCTCATTGAAGATGAAGAACTGACATTTATAACTATCAGCATAGTCCTCTCAGCTTTTTATTAGAGATTTAATCTTTTCTTTTTTTWAAGTATTTATTTATTTTTAGTTGTAGATGAACACAGTACCTTTATTTTATGTATTTTATTTTTATTTGGTGCCAGGGGTGAAACTCAGTRTCTCATGCATACTAGGTAAGCGCTCTACCACTGAGCCACAACCCCTCCCCTTAATCTTGTTTTTTAATTCTAGTCTCATTTTACATCTAATTCATATTTAATTATATTTATTGCTCACCTTTTTGGTTTTTCAAATATTCCCTCCTCCTAAATTGATTATGGAGCTTAGGATTGAACATAACTTTTTTTTTTTTAAAGAGAGAGAGAATTTTTAAAAATATTTTTTAGTTTTCGGCAGACACAACATCTTTGTTGTATGTGGTGCTGAGGATTGAACCCGGGCCGCATGCACGCCAGGCGAGTGCACTACCGCTTGAGCCACATCCCCAGTCCGAACATAAAATTTTAAACATAAAGTTTAGGGAAAAAAAATGCTAGTTTGTTTGGCATGGTTTGATTTAGTGTCTTTGAGCTTAACCTGTAATTTTAGTCCATCTAACATTTTACTGATGCAAAATCAGCTTTGCATTTTTCATCATAGTGTAACATGAAATACATATACTTTAGTAAGGTATGAACAAAGAATTCTTTTACTTGCTATCTTTTATTAAGATGCAAATATCCTWGAGTTTGGATATTCATGTATTATTTCACAAATTGTCTTTGCATTACAAAAATATTTAGTCTTATAAATCTATACTGATCTTAGTGATTTTCAAGACCCAAAGGCAGATCCTAAAGAATCATAACTTTAGATTGAATAGTAGAGCTTACCCGCACAGAGGAGCAATTAGAAGAAACCTATAGACATCTAGTATTTTTTTTTTTTTAATGGTACTACTTTAGATAAAAGAAGTGTAAATGAAAATCATAACTTTTGTTAGGCCCTTAGTCAAAGTTAATTGTATGTATAATGATCTTATATTTTCAGACTTTAAAATGATGTTTGAGACTTTCTTAATTTTATTAAGCCATATAAAGTGCTGGGATGTTAGTATGTACTAGCACTTTTAAAACTGAAGCTTTCTTCGGTGATAATGTGATTTTAAATTGCAGCTAAGTATACATGATTTGCCCTTGCTTTTGTTGAATGAGTTTGCCTCATTGCTTCCTTTGTTTAATTGAATTAACTTAAAATCAAACAAGTCTTTAGTACAGATCTGTTTTTTGAAGACAAGACCTTACTAGATTGCTGAGGTTCAGCTTGTACTTGAAATCTTCCTACCTCAATCTCCCTTCGGTTGCTGGAATTACAGGCGTGTACCATTTCACCTGGTAGCAACTGTGTAGTTTACTTAGTGGAATAATTTCCTTTTCCAAAAATTTAACCTGCCCCCTGTTTTTGTGGTTTTCAATTGATTTTTCATTATGAAAAGTTATTGCAATTTGAAATATCTAAGGTTGTTTTTATAATTAAATAGGATACTTTTAGGCTTAGAATAGCTCTACAATAATCTTACTAGTAGTTGTTTAGTATTATGAGGAACGTCCCACTTTGATTTATATCTCAATTTCTACCACTAATTATTTCCCCCCCCAGAGTACTGGGGATTCAACTCGGGATTATTCTAACTTGGAGCTATATACTCAGTCAAGTAAATACCCAGTTGTAAATATACTTTGGGGATATATTTTAAACTTTTTCTTAGTTTAAGAACATTTTTTGTTAGTACATTCGGACCATTTTTTTTTCATAAACACAAAATCTGAAGGTCTAGAAGCATTCCTTATGAATTAGCAGAAGTTTCTATTTTGAAACAGTCTTACTAAGTTGCCCAGGCTGTCCTTGATTTTGGGATCCTCCTGCCCCAGCCTCCTAAGTATCTGGGATTACAGGCATGTGCCACTGTACCTGTCTCTACCACTAAATTTTAAGTTGATTATATATGGTAGTATTGCCCAAAGTGCTAATGCTTTAGAASTATAGGATGTGGTGATGGTAGACATTATCTCTGATAATGTAATCTGATTTCCATATTTTTGCAATCAAGAACTTGTAATCATTGGACATGGTGGCACATTCCTATATTCCTGGACACTTGGTAGCAAGAATGTAAGGTCAGTGCCACCCTGGGCAATTAAGCGAGGTGCCAACTCAAAAAGGCCTTAAGATGTTGCTCAGTGGGGGCTGGCGTTGTGGCTCAGTGGTAGAGCGCTCGCCTAACATGTGTCAGGCACTGGATTCGATCCTCAGCACCACATAAAAAAATAAATAAAGGTATTGTGTCCATCTACAACTAAAAAAAAAATTAAAAAAAAAAATGCCGCAGTCTGGCTGCAGCAAAATAACCAGGGGGGGTGGTGACGAGCAACTTGTGTAGATTGATACAGCAGGAGTGGGAGCCGTATATTGTAGGACAACAGAGCTATTTATACATTTTGCACAGCTTATCTTAATTAGCATAAACTAGATACATCAGTCAACCAATAAGGAATCTCCACACTTAATGGCTCCCTGGCAGTACATCACAAACCACACCCTCTGGCAAAATGCCAGGCACCATCCAGATTTGTTTATAGACTCTAACATTAAAAGATGTTTCTCAGTGGTAGAATGCCCCAGGTTCAATTCCCACAAATAAAAATCTTGTGATTTTGGCTTCAGAAAATGAAAAATAAAAGGTCTGTATTGTCTCCTTTCATCAAATAACACTACTTTATGGGGCTGTGATTGTGGCTCAGTAGTAGAGCACTTGCCCAGCATGTGTGAGGCAGTGGGTTCAATCCTCAGCACCACATAAAAATAAATAAAATAAAGGTATTGTCCATCTACAACCAAAATAAATAAATAAGTAAATGTTCTGAAAGCACCAAAAATAAATAAAACAAGCTGGATTGGTGGTACACACCTGTAATACCAGTAATTCCAATGGCTGAGGCAGGAGAATCCAATGACTGAGGTCAGCTTCAGCAGTGTAAGTTGATTCTTGTCTGGATCCCAAGTTTGGGGACAGCCTGGCAACTTGGTGAGGCTCTATGAGACAATAAACAATAAAAAGAGCTGGGGATATAGTAGCTTAGCTGTATAGTGCTTGCCTAGCATGTGTGAGGCCCTGGGTTCAATCCCCAGTATCAAAAAGATAAAAAAAAAATCTAGAGAAATTAACATTTTTACTTAAAGTATATTGTAATTGTACTTCTTTTTTTTAATGTTGGAGGTGGAATCCCAGGCTTTTATTGTATGTTCGGTAAATTTCATACCCCTAAATTGAATTTCTTCTAAAAGTACTTCAGATTAGTTCTAATTCTATAATGTTGATTTCAATCCTTTAAATTCTAGGAATATCTTTAAAGTAGTCGTAATAAAGAATTTTTCTGTACTTGAAATGGATTTGTTTTTATTGAGTATGCTTTTGGAAGTTAATTTCTTTCTCAAACCAGTAATGAGTTCAATATTGATGTTTTGCTATATTTAAACAGGTCAGAAGACATCTCTAACCCAAGAAACGGAGCTGTTAGAATCCCTTCTTCAGGAGGTAGAGCACCAGGTGATGAAATATTAAATATAATGGTCTTTATCCATTTTAATCCATATTTCCTTTTTTTGGTACCAGTGATTGAACCTAAGGGTGTTTATCCACTGAGCCACATGCCCTAGCCCTTTTCTATTTTTTGTTTTGAGTTGGGGTTTTGCTAAGTTGCTTAGGGCCTTGCTGACTGCTGGCTTTGAACTTTGGATCCTCTTTCTTCAGCCTCCTGAGTCTCTGGGATTACAGGTATGCTCCACTGTGCCTAGCTTTCCATATCTCGCATTGCAAGTTCCTTTTTTTTTTTTTTGAGAGAGGGAAAGTTATGTCTGATCCTTTTTATTGTCTTTCCCATTCCCATCCCATGTCCCTTCCCTTCATTCCCCCCTGTTCAGTCTGATGAACCTACCCCCTGCCATTGTGAGTTAGCATATTCAGCCTTTGGTTTTTTGGGATTGGCTTATTTCACTATGATTGTCTCTGGTTCCATCCATTTACCAGCAAATGCCAGAATTTCATTCTTCTTGGCTGAGTAATATTTTGTTGTGTATATGTACCACATTTTCTTTATTCATTGATCTGTTGAAGGGCACCTGGGTTGGTTCCGTAGCTTAGCTGTTGGGAATAGAGGTGCTATGAACAATGATGTGGCTATGTTGCTTTCTTCTTTTTTTAAAAGTATTTTTATTAGTTGTAGGTGAACACAATACCTTTATTTTATTTATTTATTTTTATGTGGTACTGAGGATCAAACCCAGTGCCTCACAAGTGCTAAGCGTGCATTCTATCACTGAGCCACATAGTGTGCTGATTTTAAGTCCTTTCAGTATAGGCCCAGGAGTGGGATAACTGGGTCAAATGATGGTTTCATTCCAACTTTTCTGAGGAATCTCCGTACAGCTTTCCAGAGTTGTTGGACTAATTTTCAGTCTCACTAGCAATGTAAGAGTGTACCTTTCCCCCCACATCCTCACCAACACTGTTACTTGTATTCTTGATACTTGCCATTCTGAGTGAAATGAAATCTCAGTGTAGTCTTAATTTTCATTTCTCTAATTGGTAGAGATATTGAACATTTTTTTCATGTATTGTATTCCTTCTTCTGTGAAGTGATTTGTTAAGTTCCTTTGCTCATTTATTGAATGGGTTGTTTGGGGGGGTTTTTTTAGGTTTTTTTTTTTTAATATATCCTGGAGATTAGTGCTCTGAGGTGCAGGTGACAAAGATTTTCTTCCGTTCTCTAGGCTCCCTCTTCACATTCTTGATTGTTCCCTTTGCTGTGAAGAAGTTTTTTAGTTTTGATACTGCCCTGTTTATTGATTCTTGATTTTACTTYGTGTGCTTTCAGAGTCTTGTTGAGGAATTTGGTTCCTAAGCTGACATGATGGAGATTTGGGCCTACATTTCTTCTGTTAGGTTCAGGGTCTCTGATCTAATGCCTAGGTCCTTGATCCACTTAAGGTTGTTCTATGTGGGGTGAGAGATAGGGGTTTAGTTTCCTTTGGTTATGTATGGATTTCCAGTTTTCCTAGCACCATTTGTTAAAGAAGCTTATACTGTCCTTGATCACGTTTCTCTCTCTAATCAAATACCGATTTTTTGTTGTTGTTGTTGATAAATTTGCTTATTATTGAGTTATATAAATGGAACTACACTTTATGTACTCATTTTATGTGTAACTTCATTCAACAAAATTAGTATTTAAAATTTTTTTTTTTTAGTTGTTGATAGACCTTTATTTTATTTATTTATATGTGGTCCTGAGAATTGAACCCAGTACCTCACACATGCCAGGCAAGTGCTCTGTCATTGAGCCACAGCCACAGCCCCCRGCAAAATTATTTGCTGTGTGCATCAATAATTATTTTAGTGTTGAGTAGTATTGTATGTTTATTTTTCCATTTAATTCCTAATGGTCATTTGACGTAACTGTAAACCCTGAAATCCAGTTTTTGGCTATAACAGACAAAGCTTCTATAAATGTACATGTCCAAGTCTTTACATGAAAGTGTTTTTTTTTTTTTTTTTTCCCTGTTGGGTGTGCTTATGGCTCCATCAAATGGTTGATAAATCATTAATTTTAAAAATAATTGCTAACAGTTTTCTGAATTGTACCATTTTATATTTCTTTTTCTTTTTTTCTTAATATTTATTTTTTAGTTTTCGGTAGACACAACATCTTTGTTTGTATGTGGTGCTGAGGATTGAACCCAGGCTGCACGCATGACAAGCGAGCGCGCTACTGCTTGAGCCACATCCCCAGCCCCTATTTTATATTTCTAACAATATTATATGAAAGTACCAGTTTCTCCACAATACTGCCAACACATGATATAGTTTATTATTTTAACTGATGTCCTGGGAGTGTCTAATTGTGGTTTAATTTGTTTAATTTTGTGGTTTATTTGCCTCATGACTAATGATCATAAGCTCCCTTTTTAACTAACTTACTACCTGTGTATCTTTTTTTTGAGGTGTCTGTTCAGATCTTTTGTCCATCATTTTATTGTCTTGTTTTTTTGATTTTGTTTTCAGAATTCTTCACATAAAATACTAGATATATGCCCCATATCAGATAAAAGCTTTGCAAAGATTTTCTTCATCTCTATATTTCATTTCTTAAGTGTCTTGTGAAGAGCTGAAATTGTACTTTTTTTCTTTTTTTAGTTGTAAATGGACACAATATCTTTATTTTATTTATATGTTTTTATGTGGGGCTGAGGATTGAGCCATTGCCTCACATGTAGTAGGTGCACTACCATTGAGATAAAACTCCTGCTCTGAAATTTTACATTTCTTTTTAAATACCTTTCTTTAATTTATTTTTATGTGGTGCTGAGGATCAAACCCAGTGCCTCACACGTGCTAGGCAAGCGCTGTACCACTGAGCTGCAACCCTAGCCCTGAAATTTTACATTTTAATGAAGTCTAATTTATCAATTAATATGCTCTTGATGTCATATTGTCATATATAGGAAATCTTTAGCTCAGGGCCAAAGGTTTTCCCTTGGAAAATTTATTATCATAGGTTTTATATTTAGGCTTAGTAGTGCCTTTTGAGTGTTTAGTTGTAGTTGGACACAATACCTTTATTTTATTTATTTTTATGTAGTGCTGAGGATTGAACCCAGTGCCTCACATGTTCGAGGCAAGCGCTTTTCCACTGAGCWACAGCCCCAGACCCTTTTTGTTTTGTTTTTGAGATGGGGTTTTGCTAAGTTGCCAAGACTGGCTTCAAACTCAAGATATCTTGCCTCACCCTCCTAGTTAGCTGGCGTTATAATCATGCATCACCATGCCTGTCTTCAAATTCAATATCTTGAATAGTTATAGGGCAGTAAATTCACATTTACTATTTTCTCTTGAGTGAGCTTTGGGAGTTTATGTGTCTTTCAAGGAACTATTCTGTTTCATTTTAATTTATTGGCATGAAGTTTATAATAATTTCTTGTTATCCTTTTAGCAGTTTTAGACTCCTAAAGATGTCACCTGTTTCTTAATTTGTGTCTTTCTTATTTTTTCCCCAATTGTTTTGGCTAGAAGTTTATGGGGTTTTACTGATGTTCTCCAGAAACTAGGTTTTAATTTTAATTTCTTTTTTTTTCTATTACATGGATTTTTGTTTTGATCGAATTATTTCTTCTGCTTAGTTTTAGTTTAATTAATTCCTTTTTTTCCTAATATTTTAAGATGGAAGCTGAGGTTATTGATTTAAGACCTTTCTATTCAAATATTTTCTTTTAGGTCTTTGATTTGTTTAGTTTCTAGATATTTGGTGATTTAGAAAATATTCTTTAGTTGATTTCTAATTTAATTTTATTGTGTATAACTGAAATCTATTTTTAACTTACTATTTGAATTTTAGCATGTTTTATTCTCAAAATACAGTACATCCTAGAAAATGTTTTGTGCACAGTTGAAAACTGTATTTGCCATTTTGGGGTGGAATGTTTTATTGGTAGTAATGAGGTCAAGTTGACTAATGATCATTATTACTATATTCTTTCAGACTTTCTATGTACAGGTTGGACATCCCTAATCTGAAAATCCAAATTCTAAAGTGTTCCAAAAATCTGATAGTTTTCCAATTCAAGTATGATGCCACAAAATGGAAAATTCCACGTCCAATCTCATGTAACAAATTGTAGTAAAAAATGTGTGCACTAAGAATAGTTTATAAAATTACTTTAGGCTATGAGAATAAGGTGCTTATGAAAGGTAAGTTTTATATTTAGACTTGGGTCCTATTTCTAAGGTAGGTCCTTATGTTTATGCAGGTATTTCAGTATCTGAAAAAAAAAATTAAGTTCTGACATACTTCTTGACCCAAGCATTTTGGCTAAGGAATATTCAATTTGTATTTGTATTATTAAATATTGGGAGGAGATATTAAAATCTGAGACTGTAACTTTTGATTTGTCTACTTTGTTAGCTTTATCAGGTTTTGATTAATAACTATCTGGAATTATTATGCCTCATTATAAGGTACTGGGGATTGAAGTCAGGGGCACTGGACCACTGAGCCACACTCCCAGCCCTATTTTGTATTTTATTTAGAGACAGGGTCTCACTGAGTTGCTTATCCCCCTCACTTTTGCTGAGGCTGGCTTTGAACAATCCTTCTATCTCAGCCTCCTGAACTGCTAGGATTGCAGGCATGTGCCACCTCTCCCCACTGATAATCTTTAATTTTTGATTGGGATGTTTAGGACATTTGCATTTAGTGTGCTTATCGATATGATGAAGTTTTAGTCTTGCTGTTAGTTTTCTATTTGTCCCATCTTAAATTTATACACACACATTAAAAAAAAATGTTTATTTAAGTTGTCGATGGACCTTTATTTATATGCTGTGCTCAGAATCAAACCCAGTGCCTCACACATGCTAGGCAAGTCCTCTACCACTGAGCTACAGCCCCAGCACCCATCTTATGTTTTTGATCTTTTTTCCCTGTTTTTTTTCTTTTTAAATTAAATATATTTATTTTTTTGTAGTTGTAGATGGACAACATGCCTTTATTT